TTTCAATTTATTACATGTCCTTAAAGAACATGTGAAAGAAAATAAAATGAAAACAAACAAACACATTCAAACATGTACCTAGAACGTGATTATAAACATCTAAAAGAACACAAAAAACAACTAATGGAGAACAACAATTATTAGTGAACATTATGAACAACAAATTGATATATAATCATATATGGATACACATATCCATATGTATGCAGAATAACAGTAACAACATTATTAGAGACAACACAACAATAATGACTAAGGTGACAACTAGCTGTGATTCCTGAGGAACTGAGAAATTTCTCGTCTCGCCTTAGCTAGATTAAGTGAGACACTAGTTTTTTTGATCAATTTGGTATACTCTGAGCCAGCTCTGTGCGTAAAGAAATGCTTCCCTAGAGAGGTTGTGACCGGAGCAAAGCATATTTTGCTTGGGTTCCCTCTTGTTTTCGAAGATTTGAAGGTGAACAATTTGGTAGAACCAAGTGAGATTGTGCCCGTAATGATTTTATGCAACGTCATCAAATCATTCACTACTCTCCTTTTATTAAGGGAGTCTAAATTCAACATTTTGTTCCTTACAATAGCACGAGGGATGCTATTGTAAGTGTAACCAAGGGCTCTAATAAAAACTTTCCTTGTGAAGCTGTTTTGAACCCTTTCGATGTACTGAATAATTCTCTTCTTATATGGTGGAAAAATTACGGTTCCATATTCAAGTATAGGTCGTACGTACATTTTGAAGGCTTTGAGCAGAACGGTAGGATCGGTAGGAAAGGTAACGATAGGATAGATAGTGCGCCGCCTGCCACTACACCACCTCTGATAGAGCCGAAAAAAGAAAAGAAAAAGAAATGGTAAATGACTCATGGGCCTGAATTCCTTGTGCGCATCGAAGTGGAAAGGATGGAACCGGACATGTACTTTATCTTCCATTCCAAGTGCTAGCGATGTTTTACAAAGTCGAATTTGCTCCTACGGAGAAGATCGACTGGCACCAAGAATGATTCAATTAACTACTCAGTGATCGATCATCTCGAAAAGACGACTAGTAAAAACGGGTGCCGGGCATCGTCATTTACACGTGATTTTTAAGATGTCAAAGCTTGAAATGATCGAAGTGAGTTCTGAGAGAATATATTACATTACAATTTCTACTCGGCGCTGGAGAACCAAATGCGTGACGTGACTACTAGTCAGTTGACACCCATTTAGGGTCTACCCGCGCAGAGGAGTCGTTTACCTGATCCCTAATTGATAAACCTATCTAAAGGGTCTCGTTCTCCTCGGATCGTCCAGGTACGACATTGTTTTCTTTGTCTATACCCCTCCTTCTCTGCCATCTCAGTTCGTCTTCACAGAAATATTGAAGACGGTTCAAGGAGGCTTGGTGAAGCTCTTCTGGGTTGTGCGCTGTTAAGACAAGGAGAGGAGCTGGACAATGAATTTTCATGGTAACGTTTCCTTAACTTCCAGACAAGGGCCCACTTCGCCACATTTGAGACAGCCGTTTCAGTACTTTTCGATGTAGCAGGAAACTACTATAAAAATCGGCTGATGATTAGTGATAAGGGAAAATTGCTGTGAAAGACAGCTTCGTGAAATTGCAGGAGATTGTGCCAGGCAATAAGATATGCCAACTGATTGTGTAAAAGGTAACAACAATTCCTTATCAGCGTTCTTCTTATTTACGTGATCAACACTATCGCTAAAGGAACACCTTCGAGGTGTTTAGATTGGTCTTATCATAAAACTGAGTTGAGATCACTGGTCGAGGAGAACACTGGCTATTTTTTTTNGGGGGGGGGGTATGAGAGCCACCTGAATATCGGCCGCGTTTCTGCTGTACAACGGTAGGATAGCAACGGACCAGCTTATTGGACAAAAGTCTCAAACCCGGATCAAAATTTTTTCTTTCTGTCTGTACCGGAGAAAGTGGAGCTCCGATGTGGCTTAGAGGTGAAAGAAAATCAGAATAAAGGAGCTTTTCGCATTCTACGATCATTGATCTCTTCTACCTTAGTTAATAATCTTCTATGAGGTGATTTGATGCCATGAATTTAAAAAAAAAACCCAAAAAGCTCAATTGAAACATACGGGACTCTCTCTTGCACGGGCTTTCAGAACACATGGATGTTCTTCAGGCTCCTGAAAAAGCGAATGTTATAAAATGAATGGCCTCGACAAAACCCTGGCCTACCAGCCACGACCTGTGGTGGATGTGCTATAAGATCTGATTTACTAATCATCTGTCAAATATTCATGGATGCACAGAGGAGACATCTGTTCAGCGTGAAGGTTTCGACGGATTGAAATGTTGGTGGAGTCACAGACATCAAAAACAAAAACTACCTAAATCGCTAAGCTGGGGATGACCGAATGACCGAAAAATGAAAACTGAGAGCTATTCGTTGATCGTGCAAAGTGTTATCAGACCAAACGATTACATCTGATATGCACGAATACTTCAGAAAAAANAAAAAACAATGAAGTGTGGGCGAGAAACGAGGGCCTCCTGATGGAACGGCATCGATCATAAAGTACCCTATCGATCGCTTCAGAAGGCTCTAGAAGGCACTTTGCATTATAGTTCAGATTACCAACAATATAGCCATTCGTATGAACCGTCTTGAACCTGCTCGAGTTTTATCTATTGCACTATTCCTCGTTCCCTTCTCAGCAAGACACGGTACTTCAAATTTAATACTGCTGTGATGAACTTCTTTTTTGCAAATTTGTCTTTACATTTGTTTTTTGCAACTCACAATATGAAATTTTGTCGATGATCGATTTTTATTTCCAATCTGCTTGAAGGAAACGCGAACGTTGTTGGTCACATGAAATTCAATTTACTTATCAATCAGTTCACCTCAATGGACACGAAAGACAACGGATATCCATCACTTAAGGTTAGGATTAGGGTTCCCTCTAATTGAATGGTGCGACTTCAGGTGGTGGAAAGGGCAGTAGCTCGCGGACTCCGAAAACCACCGATTCCTTTCCATGAAGTAGGAGGATTCAGAAAACCGGCTACTTGTTCCGCTTTGTCGACTTGACTTCCTACCTCCTCCTCCCAGTCATATCTATGCATGTGTTGGGTGGAGAGTTTGCGATCGCAGTCGGTATCCTGCCCATCGAGTCAGCCATTGAGCTTGAGTGGCAGGGGAGCACCTTAGAAGGGATCAGTGATCACCTCTGGCAAATAAGCCTTGCCCACTAAAGATAGCATCGCTAATTACGCATCCCACAGCGGAGCCTGGCAAACTGCCTTCAGTACATATGCCTTCGCCGAAATAGTGGTACATATGAATGGGCCTCACTGAGCTTCGAACTAAAGGAGGCCCCTACAAAGCAGTTGGGTGGGACCACTCGTTAGCGGCTGCTAAATCTCAGGGACATATTAGTATGCCCAAACGAAAAAGACCGAAGTGGCTGTCTGTACTTTTGGCACGGACGACTGTATCGGAAGCAAATGAACTCTACAAACATAACAGATAGCCAGACAGATGTCATAATTTGATAAGAAGACCAACAGTACAAAATGATTGCAAGAACGATTGTAACGAATAATAGTAAACCGATAAAAGCATAGAGCTAAAATATTCCTCGAATTTTTTTTCGAATGGTATGAACGTCAGAACATGCCAATAACCCGGGACGTTTCCGCATAGAGGACCCTTCCCACGCATTTGAATATGTAAGGGCGAAGCTGAAAAAGGGTGGGAATGATTGCCTTTTCACCGCTATGCGATTGCAATTGATATTCCCACTTTTGACAGAAATTTCTGAACAACCAAGAAGACCTTTGTCGGGAAGGCTTCCGATGCTTCCAATTTTTTTCCCTATTCAGGGCAGCTACAGCTTTTTCCAAAGCATCTTCTCGTGTTTCTTGGCCATTTAAATGATGCAATGGCAACATGTACTGGTTGTTTTTCCGCAGAAACTGTGGTCCCTGCTGGTTGAGGCTCAGTTTTTGTTTCTGTTTCTGTTTCCCTGTTGAGCTCTTTGTGAATGATTAATACGTTCATATCCTATTCATGAATGTAGCCAGCTCGTCTTTACATGCACTCCATGCGTCACACGTCGGTATCGGCTACTCGTTCTGTTATTCTACTGCAACTTTTGTTGCCCTCAATATTTACCATTCGATGTCATTTCTATCATGAGATATGGCAGGATGGACGGAAACTTGAGATCGTACCCGATATTTGTTTCAGTAACAAATACTGTATCTCAGTAACGTATCGTGATCCGAATCCCGTGAAGAAAAACGGCTATTCTGTTGGATGTGATCATGTAGATTGTGCTGGGTCCGATAATCCCAACTCTAAATCATGGTATTCTACTTCTGATGGCACGAAATGTCGTAAACATCGTGATTTTGGACGACATGGTGAGGTCTGTTGTTGTAAAACGGATTTGTGCAATTCGAGCCCAGATTTCGTGGTCCGGCCTTTGCTCGGCCTGCTGATAGTTCTCGTTTTGTCTTTCTTGTGATGTTGGCAAGTCTCTGTTCCAAGTAAATTTGTAATTTCTATTATATTTTGTTTAAAATATTTCCCTTCCCCTTCATTGATGTAGGAATAACAAGTAGCACAACAAGTACTTCCTAAGTTCGTCCTCAAACGGCGATGCCAGTATTTGCCGTCGGAAAGCCTTACTGCTCATGTCCCATCAACTTTATTCATGCCATGTTTTATTAGTGCTTGATATATGCCTCTGCCACGCCCTCGTGGAGTGTTGTTTCCTTTACTCAGTATACATAGAAGTATGTTTGTTAACGTTCGCTATTCCCTCAAAAATTCGCCATGAACTGTAGGTGTTACTCGGTTCTTTTGCAGTAATAAAGGCTAGGTGTCTGAATTTTGTGTCTCAAAAGTTACAATGTCCAACGTCGTCTGCGAAACTCCACCTTGTTAATCGACAGAAGCCACAACTTAAATGACAATGTTCTAGCGTCAAAACAAATCAGTCCATAAAGTCTATTAGATAGCAATCAACAAATGAAACCTATGGTTAGTCGCAGAGCAATCGAGCTTGCCTTAAACCTCCTTTTTCAATGAATCATGTGCTATGGGAATACAGTATGGAATATTATACATGCAACTGTTCAAAGGTAAAAATCGGAAATTGACGGCGTCCGGTTGTTAGAGTTTTCAACATGTGAGTGTGGAGGGCAGATTCGAAGAAGCCATGTACACAGCGAGCACTCTCACTGTTAGCAGTACTTACTATACGAAAAAACGGCTCTACTGTTCATCTCCACAAAAAACTTTCTTTTATGAGTTATTTCATGCTCGAGCATAGATATTGTCTTTTCTTAGATGCGAGGCGAACGGGTAACTGGTCGAAATATAAGGAATTCAACAAGTCTTTCCTATCGAAGCTTAGAAGGTATAGCTGTTACATTGAGAAAAAAGTCGTGGAGTCAAAATGCAATCGTATCTTCTACAAGTATTTGAATCAGAAACTTAATGGTAAGACTAATATCGGCTGTTTGAAAGTTGGTGATGTTGTGGTGTACCGCCCGTACGACAAGGCCAATTTGTTAGCAGAGCAGTTTGCCAAATCTTTTCTTGAGGATGATGGTATGGTGCCGGAGTTTGTCGCAGGTCCTTTTCCGCCTATGGCTACTGTCCCTTGGTTCAGTGCAGAACAGATCTATAAGCAGATCATGAAATGGCCGAGATCCTCTTCATTAACTCCGGACTTCATCCCACTCTTTTTCATCAAAAGAGTGGCATGTGTAATTAGCGGGCCGTTAGCTTATATTTTCAATCAATCGCTGATTAAGGGCGAGGTACCTCTCAGATGGAAGCACTCCTTCGTGACCCCGATCTCGAAGAAGGAACCATCCTCGGACCCAGGCAATTATCGTCCCGTCAGCATTACTTCCCTTTTCTGTAGATTGTTTGAAAAAAACCTCAAGGAGCATGTCCTCAGACATGTTTTTGATTGTAAGATTATTCCGAAAAACCAGCATGGTTTTATCCCAGGGCGATCAATTGAAACCAACATGATTGAATGCCTTCGGGACTGGACTGATGCTCTAGACAGTAATAACTCGTGCGATGTCATTTACTTTGATTTCGCCAAAGCTTTCGATAGAGTGTCACATAAGAAATTAATCCATAAGTTAAANCTCGGCGCATGGTATTCGACGTGTGCATGGTTTATAAGCTCTTATACCAATCTGCAGGTCTTGGTCCATTTGAGTTTTTCGAAATCACACCATCACGCACTAGAGGCGGACAAGCCAAAATACATTTGACTTGTCCAAGGACTAGTGTTAAGGCCAGAGGTTTTTCGTTCCGTGCCGCGAGCACTTACAAAAAGTTGACAAAGAACAGTGTTTTAGCCGGAACGCTGAGGCAGTTTAAAAAACAGATAGCTGCCAAACTATTAACCTATGTAGCTTCGTAGTCGCTCGAGATTGATTGTCTTTTTTAGGGTGCTTAATTGTCCATTAGGGTGCTTAATTGTCCATTCTTTACTTTTTGAATGTTTGGTAATGATGTTTAATTGTGTCGTGCGTATCTTGTTTGTTCAGTTTTCGTTTCTGTTATAATGCTATCAGTTCTGTTCTCTTACGTTCGCCTTAAGCGCCGTAATAAACATATACATATACATATATATTTCGAGTTAGCCAACTAATCAGCGATTAGGGATCGATCCCGAACCATGCGTGTACGATAGTGCACCACTTGCCAATACACCACCTTTGCCCTGTTCAGACTGATTTCTGAATGAGTAAATGAATTTATCACTTATTCACTCATCAGGGCGAAAATGGTGCAGTCAAGTAATGCACTATCACAAACGCATGGTCAGGGTACGGATCCCGGATCGATTTTCGTCTAGAACAACTAGGCTTTTCATTCCTCCGGGGTTGGTTAAGTGGGACTAGACTCATCTGGGAGAGTATAAGCGTTGATTTGTTCATGGCTACCGCAAGTCATTGTATAGGCCACATTCAAAAAGTAGTTCGCCAGGAAGGCAAGCAGGAGGGCGACCATTTCTCCCTTCGGTGAAGCATGATGCATCCAAGGTTTGTTTCATTGCTATCTATAGTATCTATAGCGGCTTCAATTCAGTTTGAGCAGTTCTGATATTAATGTGTTCGAGTTTCGACCTAGTACCACTCATTGTAAATGCCTATCCATATTAAATTCCAATTTCAGTCTGGTATCACTAATTGGTAAGACGTTGCTCACAGGGAAGAGAGCCCAGGATTCAGTGTTATCAGTCAGCAGTTCCAGAACAAGTGACTTTTCATAGTTTATATAGCGCCTAGTTCGAGACAGTGGCTTTTTGCATCATCTCTGTTAAAAGTAATATCGTGCATGGGCGCCTGCAGACGAGGCGGAATCAAAAAGGGTCTTACTTGAAAGAACATTTCAACGTCGCAGCTTTGTCAGAGTCAATTGCGCAATGCAACGGACCTTAAACGCTGATTGTTGTCGACTTACGAAGTAAAATTTACAATTCCTTTTCCTATCATTTATTTCACGTAGCAGGAAAAAAAACACACTAGACCCTACAAATAAAGTGCAGGGATACCGTCATCGGGGAGGTTTTTTCCGTGTCTTCTCGAAATCTCCTGAATCTTTCCACATTTCAGGTCTTTACAAATATCGAATACGCTCGACAAAGAGCTGAAGCTCACCTATCAATAATAATAAAGATAGTTAGCAACTATGAATCGGATTTTCTGGGAGAGCAGAAGGCAGAGGTTTCAAACTGTGCATTGTATTATAGATAAGTTCAAACGGCTGCCAGAAACGAAAAATTTTTTGGCTACTTCAATCGAAAGGTGCTGTCCGTTTCTGCTCATAAAGCTCTGCTACTGCGATCGGGAGAGAGATTTACCAAAAGAGGATTCCTACAAAGTATGCAGGAAGAGGCATAATCTGCGGCATGGCCAAGACATTTATATCAGGTAAAGCAGCTGCTGCTTCTCAGAGCCTGCTTTCGCATCACCCATATGTGCAAATAGACAACACCGTACTGTAAATTTATAGCTGGGATACCAATACATGACAAGGGCCTTCAGAAAAAACACTTCATTCGATTACAAGGATCGATTAACTTGGACAACATAAATAGCATAAAAAAGAGAAAAAAAGGGAAAAAGGGAAAATAGGAAGAACTCGTCCATTGCCTAGTTGAAGGAAGATATAATCTGTAGTTATCATTACTACTCACAAGTTTTCAGGTCGACTTCAATAGGAAACAGGGGGTTATAACAGGAAAGCGGAAGAAAGTCCAACCACTAAAGTCCTGCTCTGGTTTGATGGTTCTCCCAGTCTTCTTCCACGATTAGTCTCATTTTTAGAGGAGTATTGCCCTCCGGCTGCTCTTAATACAGCCGTGGGATCGTTGCCGTCTATGTTTGTGGTTGCACCAGCACCTGTTTCCAATTATTTTAAAAGAATCCCCACTTCTGGTTTTCCAAAAGGACGCCAAGCGGCGCCCTTTGTAACAGGGTTGGTCTGGCTTCACGGATACGCTGGTTTCTAAAGATGTGCTGAAGTGTGGGTAAACATTCAATCTTGGATGAGGCACGAAGTCTCTTGAACACTGTTTTAGTACAGTGCTCCTATCCATTACCTGTACATGTGGTGGGTGCTTGGAGGCGCTTAATTGTGTCTTCTGGTTACTGTATAACACATTCATGGGATTTTAAAATCCGTCTTGTATGGCTATACGTAGAAGCCATCCTCACCTCGGGTCATATCAACAACTGCATGTTAAGACGCTTTAAAGAATTCCCTGATAACTTCACCCCAAAAAAATCTATTAGAACCTCAAGAAGTTCTATCGATGGAGTGCCCCTCTTCTCACAGTGTTTGGTGGATGAGTGAATTGATCCGTGCTGTCAAATAAAATGTCCCTGCTGAGAGCCCGTCATGTATAAATATCTCCAAATATAAATTCGCCTATTTATTCAACTTGCTGTCTATTTACAACTTGCACTGATTGGTGATACGAAAATAGGCTCTGAAAAGTAACAGCTGCGTTACGTGGTATAAAAGTCTCGGCCATTTCACAAACTTCGCAGATAAGTCTACTTTCTGCTTTCCTTGGAAATCTCGTCCGAGCACTCTGCTGTTGATGTAATTGTTGTATTCTTTGATAGAAATACGAACGTTGTGTACGTGATTCCGGTTTGCTTAAAGAAATGGGGAAGACCATGAGGTCTTTCTCCAGGAGGCACTGAAGGAGTGGTTGGCATCTTCTCCCGAACGGTGTGTCGCGCTCGCCGCACGCGATCGCGCGCTATGAGAGGAATGATTTGAATCCTCGGTGGAAGCTACAGAGAGTCGCCACGAACCCACTGCTGCAGACCGTGGGAATTCGGGGAGAAGTTCCGTTACCCCTGAAGGAGGGACGACGGATGACAGGAAGTAGTTTCACCTTTTCAAGAATGAGTGCTGATTCATTCACTTGTTGTGCTCATTGCCATTTCATTCTGCTAGAGTCAGCTCAGTAACTAC